ATCATCACACCATATAAAGGACACGTATATAAATACCAAATGATATGCTATGTATATACTTGATTGTTTACATAGAAAAACACGTACCGGCTATGTAAATACATACCAAATGGCTACCATATGGTTGGGCGTGATTCCAACAATCTACTAACAATTATTCGTAGAATTTAAAAGCTTATTAATATAAAGCTATAATTATGAGTAGTAACTCGAAAAATTACAAAAAATATTTTGTTGGAGTTTCATTTTAACTATTTCGTCCATTATTTTTATTAGTCATAATTGTTTTCAATTTAATCTTACTAAAGTTACTAATATTGAAGGTATCATCAGAACGGCTACGTGAATTATTAAGTTTTTTTTTAATAAAGCGCTTACGGAGTCGCGTGCTACAGCTAGGTTGATATAAAAGTCACCTCATATTAGCGACATGGAAATTATATTAATTGTGAAATTACGATTAATTAAATATTTGCATGACAAGCGACTCCAAGGCCGTCGCTGTGCTGACGCCGCGGAAGTGATTCTCGCTGAGCGCACTCCGTCACGTAGAAACAGAAGCGTGCCTTTGAGGTAATTGACAAAACAAAATGAATCTTATTATTATTGCGTTAAGGTTGATTATGTTTTAAATGCAAATAGCTTTGCTAAATGGATATTTTAAAGATATATTTTTTTCTAAAAATAAAAGAACGTGTTATAAAAAATAATATTAAAATGAATATGTTTTAATATTGTAAAGAATAAATCTTTTTAAATGTGTAATAATTCATAAGATTAAAAAAAAACAAAATGTGTGCGTGAAAACATACTAAAATTATCTTTAACGGACAAATGGTAAAACGAATCGTAACGACCAAGTGCCCGCAACTTCGTCAGTATTTTAAAATTAAAAGCTTCCTTAAAATAAAAGTTTCGTCAAAATCAGCCGTTACAAAGTTTGACCGGAACAAAACGGTCTTACGTAAAGACAAAAATTAGAAAAAAAACGTGGTTTTACGTAGCGATAAAAAAAGTATAATTACTAACATTTCCAAAACGAAAGAAAGAAAGCAATAAAAGTTTTTATTATAGGTAATACAGATTAAACCAAGAAGCAATAACTAACATAATAAAATGGCACAAAACTACGAAATTAAATTAGACTTAAGTTAACATTTATGGTTCATTTGGATAATCTAGTGATGCCCACATTAGGCAATGCACGACATACATACAATGTATACTGACGACATTTTCAAATGAAATAAATGTTGACCATGACGTATGGCCGCCATTTTGTTTTTAGGTGTTCAAAACGCATACATCGCGATGTAATATAATATTCAAACGATAAGTTCTCAGTAACTATTCGATATTGATTACATTTAGACCTCCTGTGAATGTTACAATTAATTAAGGTGTGGTTATTTACTTGGATCATGTCACCGTAAAACTATGTCCACGAAAAAATAATTTCTCGGCTCAAAATGTTTTTACGCAGTACATCTTAATATCGACTTAAAATGCAAGACATAATATTACTAGCGGTCGCTCGCGACTTCTTCGGTATTAAATTAAAAACGTAGTAGCCTATGTGTTCTTCCAGACTATTATCTATATGTATGCCAAACTTCATAGAAATCCGTTCAGTCGTTCTCTGGAACATAACTTCTAACTAACATCCATCCATCTAAACATTCGCATTTATAATATTAAAACAATTTTTTTTTTATATAACAGAAGGGGCAAACGAGCAGCGGGAACACCGAAGTGTTCAACGACGCCCATGGACATCAGCAATACCAGAGGAACCGCAGATGCGTTGCCGGCCTTTGAGGTGGTGATAGGCTCGCTTCTTGAAGGACCCTAAGTCGTATTGGTTTGGAAATACCGCCGAGGACAGACCGTTCCACAACGCGGCTGTGCGAGGCAAGAAGTTGCGCGAGAATCGCACCGTTGTGGAATGCCAGCCATCCAGGTGGTGTGGATGGAACCTGGCGGTTACTTTAAAATCAGCTATTTTCTTTATGTGGAGAGAGATTTATGTATAGTCTGGAATAACACATAGGCTATTTTTTCCACGCGAACAAATTCCCGTGTACTTTCTAGTTATTCTATACTAGGTGTAGTTGTAGCCCGCGACTCCGACTGCATGGAATATTTAATAAGTAGCCTATGTGGCCCTGCAGATTATGTTTTACGTCTGTACCAAATTACATCAAGATCCGTTGAGCCGTTCCCGAGAATTCTTACAAACATTTATTTATCCATCCATGGGAACTTTCGCATTTATAATATTAGTAAGATACCAGGACTATAGTATTTTATTGTCACCCTAGTCTCTAGTGCTCAGTTTCTTCGAATGCGAAGCATTGTGAGGGCCCGGGCGGTTTACGTGAATCTGATTGCCGTGAACCTATAAACGCGGTCCGCACGTGTCCACTGCCGTCGACACATTCGCTTATCGACACAATTCTTGTCGGATGCGATATGATAGTTAAATCGTAAATTAGTGTGTCGGAATATCTGATTTATTACGAAAAATATATATATGTAAATTATAATTTTTGTAATTGAGGACCTAGCTGTCGCCCGCGACTCAGTCCGCGCATAATTAAAAAAAAACTTAATTAGTAGCCTTTGTGTTCTTCCAGACTATGTTCTATATGTATGCCTAATTTCATCGAGATCCGTTCAGTCGTTCTGGAGATAACTTCAAACAAACATCCATCTGATTATTCGCATTTATAATATTAGCAAGAATTACATAAAGTGCTTTTCTTCCTGTGCCTTTTTAAAGGCAATGTATTTTTTTTTCTTAAAAAAAAAATTGTCTATAGTACCAACGGTTTATTATATGTTCGAAATTTGAATTTTTATTCTTTTTTTTTTATAGTTTCAAGATTTCATTTGTCTCGTGTCGTGAGCAATGGAAAAGACCCACAGGAGTTGTATTGTTCGTGGTAAGTTCCGAGGAATGCTATATAAATCGTTATCGCGTAATGTCAATAGTGAAGGGCCACGACTTTATTTGATAGTTTATAATTTAACTGTTAATATATATTTGACTAGCTGTCGCACTCGACTTCTTTTGTGCGGGATAAAAAAATATAAAGTAGTCGATACTTAGAGCTACTGAATCTCTACTTAGTATTATAAATGCGTAAGTCTGTCTGTTCTTCTTTCGCGAAAAAATTACTGAACCATTTTAAATGAAATTTGGTACACAGATAGCCTAGAGCTAGATTTTTTTTTACGCAAAAGAGGGGTTGAAAAGGGGTTTAGAAATTGGTATGGGAACATCGTAATTTTTTCAGTTACAAGCTTGAAATTTATTCTTTAGGATGTTAATTCAATATAAACAAATATCACATTCAATGTTTGGAAAAATTTTACCCTTAAGGGTGCAAAATAACAATAGGGGATGAAAGTTTATATTAAAATGTGAGGTTTACGTGATGTTTTGTCGTTATGTGCTATAAGTGTTAGTAAAATATGTCGCCTATATAATTAAAATGCTATCCAAAAATAGTTTTTCATGCGGAAATGTACGCACATAAAATTTCAAGGAAAAAATTGGTAAGAAATTTTTTCTCGCGGCTTACAAGATCGAAAACCTAAGATTATTTATTTGTTGTACTAATTTGTTAAATTATTTGCTTCAAAATTTGTAATTACTGTTTTTTTTAATTATTATTCGTATTTGTCGTATTTCTAAAGGTCTATATCAAATGTACGTGACATTTTAATAATTTTTACTCGTTGTTTTGTCATTGGCTGCAACGTTATTGTAACTATTGCCGTTTTGCAGATTAAGAAATTAAAAAAAAATTCTAAAGGTGTCAAAATTTATCTATATTTTTCATAATCTTATAATGAAACTTCAGTATGGAAATAAATATTATATAAATGAAGCAAAAAATTGAATAATAAAAATCTTTGTAAAATGGAATTTGTATTTTTTTAATTTTTAATTACAAATGCGATCGTAATTTTGACAATTCCAAATTCAAATTTCGACAGACGATAAATAATCGATATTGTATCGATATCGATAAATGAATAGAAATAATATCGATGTATCGATATATTGTCGATGGTATACGAGCCGTGACGCGGTGTGAAATTGTTTCGCAGCGCCGCGTTCCGGTGTCGGCGGACAGTTTTAATAATTTTTGAAATTCATTACCGTTTCGCGCGCCATTTGTAATTTCAAATACGCATAATCTTTTAAAAATATTATTATTATTTTAATTATTTAAGTAATTTACGTATACGTATCCTTACGTTATGATCTACAAACTATTAAATGCATATTTCTATGCACAGAGCAGGTGTTAAGGGAACAGTTGGATAACCAAGTCTGAACAGATTGTCCCTATCTGTTTTGCGAATATTAAAGTCTCACAGAATGATATTAACCACAAAGGCATAAACACATGGTAAAAAATATGGTGAAGTAAAAATCTGACCGAGAGCGCCAGTGATATTTGTCATCATCAACATCAGCTCACTATACGTCCCACCGAGGGGTTTGGAGCCTACCCTAAGTTGAGGGTGACTAGGCCATAGTCAACAACGCTGACCAAGTGCAGTGACTTCACACATATTGAATTTCTTCTCAGATATGTGCAGCATCACGATGTTTTCCTTTACCGTAACGTCAGATAAATGTACATATGTAAATCGGAAATGGAAAACACATTGATACATGGCGGGATTCGAACCCAGGATCTGCAGATTACAAGTCAAGAGCTTGACCCCTGAGCCACAGACGCCTGTCACTTTCTGCTAAAAAAAAGTTTACCTGGCGTCAAGGAATATGAGTCTCATGTCGAGTGAGGCACGGAACATGAACATATTGGAGTGCAGCTTCAGTTCTGTGACGGCGGAAGGTGGTAGAGAGTGGCCCACAGCCACCAGCCCAAGTGGAGCTGTCGCTTCACCGAATCTCCTCGCGCGCAAGTATCCAGAGCAGTGGATCACCTGGTAAACACAGTTAAAGACATTAATTTCCTACCCGGTGAAATCTCACTGTGGATGGTATTATGCATTCCCGCGCTAAATTAATCTACTTTAAATTTTACTATGATTATCTTACTTCTTACTAATATTATAAATGAGAATGTTTAGATGGATGTTTGTTTGAAGTTATCTCCAGAACGGCTGCAGCGATCTCGATGAAACTTGGCATATATAAGAACATATAGTCCGCTAATTATGTTTTTTTAAATCCGCGCGGACGGAGTCGTGGGCAACAGCTAGTATCTTTCCTATTGCCACTGATTTATATGGATATGATATTGCATAGAAATGACAGCTCTTCTTTGTTCCGATTTGAACGTACATACATATTAATTGAATCTACACTGTTAGTTTGGATCCGTACTACGCTATAACCATCAGATCCAAAATGGCGGAAATCAATTAGACGCGTCCCGGAGGCCTAATTTAGTCCTCTTTCCCTTCCCACCTTTTTCCTTATGAAGGGTTGGGAAGAGGAAGTGGACTTTCCGGATGAGAGGATGCATGGAAAGAGAAAATATTTTCTTTCTGTGCATCCTCTCCTCCGTCGATTAAAGGTAGGCAAATATGCAATTGCGTATGTCTATGGGCAACGGTCACTTCGCTATTTCAGCGATTTCAGGTGGCCGCTCGCTCGTTTGCCACCTAATGATATAAAAAAAGACACAAAATAACACGGCTTATAGCCTGTCCATTTAATGTAAGTTAGTCTTACCTTATAACCAGATGTAGTGAGTCCTGCGTTTCTCTTTGCTAGTACACATTTCATCCGTATGAAGAACGCACGCTCGCATTCCACGTCCACAGTTGGACCCCATGTTCCACCCACTGGGTAACTGTAAGGAAAAAAATCTTATTAATATTATAAATGCGAATGTTTAGATGGATGTTTTTTTTTTTTTAAGAGAAGGGGGCAAACGAGCGGCGG